GATAGAGCACTAGCCCCGGAGTCAGGAGGACCTGAGTTCAAATCTGATCTCAGACACTTGACACTTACTAGCTGTGTGACCCTGGGCAAGTCACTTAACTCCATTGCCTAGCCCCCCCCAAAATACTATGTATCTATTTGAGATATTTTATTCACTTAACAAAAATATTTTCTGAATATAAAATAAAACCCATTTAATTCTTTTTATAAATCACTTATAAGCAAAATTAATTATCAATATACAAATAAAGAATTGATTAGAGAAGTGCAAATTAAAACAATTTTGAGGTACACCACAGTACACCTATCAGATTAGCTAAGATGATAAAAAAGGAAAATGATAAATGTTGGAGAAGATGTGGGAAAATTGGAACACTAATGCATTGTTGTTGGAATTGTGAACTAATCCAACCAATCTGGAAAGCAATTTGGAACTCTGCCCAAAGGGCTATAAAACTATGCATACCCTTTGATCTAGCAATACCACTACTATATCTATATGTATGTCTGTATCCCAAAGAGATCATAAAAAAGGGAAAAGGACCCACATGTACAAAAATATTTATAAAGCTCTTTCTGTGGTAGCATAGAATTTGAAATTGAGGGGATGCCCATCAATTGGGGAATGGCTAAACAAGTTGTGGTATATGAATGTAATTGAATACTATTGTTCCATAAGAAATGATGAGCTGCTAGATTTCAGAAAAAACTTGAAAGACTTAAATGAACTGATGCTGAGTGAAGTGAGCAGAACTAGGAGAACATTGTACACAGTAACAGCAACATTGTGCAATGACCAGCCTTGATAGACTTAGCTCTTCTCAGCAATGCAACGATTTAAGACCCATGATGGGAAATGCTATCCACATCCAAAGAAAGAACGATGGGGTCTGAATGCAGATTGAAGTATACTATTTTCTCTCTTTTTTGTTTTTTCTCTCTCGTCATTTTTCCATTTTGTTCTGATTCTTCTTTCACAACATGACTAATGTGGAAATATGTTTAATGTGATTATACGTATATAGCCTATATCAGATTGCATGCCATCTTAGGGAGGCGGAGGGAGGAGGGAAAATTTAGAACTTATGTCTTACAAAAGTGAATGTTGAAAACTAAAAATAAATTTTTTTAAAAATACAAATAAAGAAATTATAATAATTAGTTACACATTCACACTTATAAATTAATGGATTTTAAAGTAAATTCATAAAGAAACAAAAAATTATAACAGGAAAATGTCATACTAAAGCATAAAATTTCTAGACCTATAAAAAGTTATTCAATGCCACTGAATTTAGGCAAAAATATCCAGAAGGAAAAACACCATTTCCAAAAAGTACACTAAGTAGACATTGTTTCCTGAAAGAAAACCTAAACAGATTACATTGTAATTTTATTTTAAAATGGGAAAATAAAATATAATATGAAAACTCAAAAGTTTTAAAATGATTTAAAAAATTAACATATATGTTTAAACAAAAAACCACAAAAATTTTTTAATAAAAATAGGTGGTTTAAACATCCATGGTACCCCCTTTTCAAAATAAAGTCCAAGGCAATGAACATCACAGCTACAGGAAAACCTTCAGAGCTCTCAATTTGACTATTTTAAATCTCAAAAGATTTTCTGTAGTAGCTATTCAAGGACTAACTTGAAACTCTTAAAATCTAAAGAATATTTCTTTAGTTTAGTAGTTGTCATTCTCCCACACTGACACAGTAAATAAAGTGATTTTATATATATATATATATGTATACATATGTATGTATATGTATAATAGTGTTTCCAACTGAGTAAGAGATTCTTTTTAAAAGTGAAAATGTCATTCTGCCAAAGCTCCAAAACGGGACACTATCTACAGCAGTCACGGTACAGGAAAACATGGGATCATGAGCAGTGAAACAGGAAAAAGATAAACAGTAGAGCTTTAAAAACAATAAAAGAATTTAACCAATATACATTTTTAATACCTGGATTAATATTCTAAGTATTTTCGAAGAGTTTCTAAACTATAATAACCAGCATTGGACAAGGAATGCATTTCCACATCCAAATGTTTGGATTCACAATTTATAATAAATTCAATGACTTCCATTGTCATTATTTTTCTTCTTTTAGCTTGAAACAGATGTAATGATTACGGCCAACTCTTTTATTGACCTCTCCGAAGAAATTTTCCTTTCTATCTTTAATATTTTCACTTCTGATATAGTAAATTTTCCACTATGTAGACCTCTTCCAACCAGAATACTCCATTAGCTGAAAAATTATGTTGCCTTGGTTGTCTATAATTGCTGAAAAACAATATAGAAAGTTGGAATTTCTAGTATTGCTACCATAAAGGCTAAAACAACTGAGATATTCCCCTCTGAAAGTAGATCACTGGGCAGTTTCAAAAAGGTCACAATAGTTCTACTACTTATGGAACAGAAAATGTGTGTACTGGGTGCTAGAACCAATTCTCACTTGAAATTGAAAAGACCAGACTCTGAACAACTGATACTTGGAACTCCAAGAGAGGATGTTAAGCATTTCATATAATACATTATAATATTTATTCATTTATTTTACATATTTGTTAAATTTTCTCTATAAAAATATGAAAATCAGCTTTGCATCAAATAGTCTTTCACAGGTGTGACATTCCAAATCTGATGCTCTTAATTATAATTCCCAAGTCCTTCCATGATGAAACTTCTGGATCAAATAAATAAATAAATCAAGTAAATGATTTTCAAAACAGTTTAAGTACCGTGCATTTTGCTATATAGACCTTTTTGCCTTTTAAAGACATTTCATAGTGCTAAAAAATCTACTCATGTTTCACTCTTTAATTCATTTCACGTCCATTTCTGCTGGTGTTTGAAAACAGCTAACCTAGTAAGCTTTAGCAGTTTGCCTTATCCACCCACTAAGTGCCATCTTGTGGTACAAATCCAGTAACTGCAAGCAAGAGAGTAATTTTTTAGAAGGTTCATATTCCACCATTCTGCTATCTGATGTAGTTTGTTTTGTATTAAGATTAAAATTAAGAACTGTCTAAATTTGAATTTCCTAATAATATGTATGTGAGCTATAGGATTTTTTTGAAAAGCAAGCAGAATATTCTAGGCAGCTAAATGACAAAGTATAGATATAGCACTGGATAGATATAGATAGCTGGATAATCTGCACTATAGATATAGTCAGAAAGAGTCAAGTTCAAACCCTGACTCAGACACTTATTGTTTGACCCTGGGTAAGTCACTTAATATCTATGAGCCTCAGTTTAATCATCTGTAAAATGGGGATAATAATAGCACTTATCTCACAGAACTATTGTGAGGACCAAATGAGGTAACACATAAAGTGCTTTGTAAAATATAAATATTATTATTTAGTTAATAAAATGCTAGATATTATTTAGTTAATAAAAATATTCATCACAGAATATATACTGTGTAACCGAACATATCCTATTTCTCTTAATGTGTATGTTTATAAATGCACATGTGTATATATGTATACACACATACATGGGTAGTTAGGTGGTGCAGTGGATAGACTGCTAATATTGGAGTCAGGAAAACTCATCTTCCTGAGTTCAGATCTTGTCTGAAACACTTACTGTGTTACCATGGGAAAGTCAGGAAAACTCATCTTCTTGAGTTCATATCTTGTCTGAAACACTTACTGTGTTACCATGAAACACTTAACCCTGTTTGCCTCAGTTCCTCAACTGTAAAATGTGCCAGAGAAGGAAATGGCAAACCATTCCAGTATCTTTGCCAAGAAAACCCCAAATGGAGTCATGAAGAGTTGGACACAACTGAAAGGACACAACAATAACCATACACACATATATACATATATGCATACCTATACCAACATATATAATAGCTGAAGCACCATGGACACTAGCCAAAGGTGGTATCTTTCTCTCTCTTATAATTAATGAACAAGCGAACAATAAACTTGTACACTAATATTTAGATGTCTTAAATAAGAAAAGACTCTATGGTGTTAGTTAATATTATGAAGCTGTTTTCTCTCCTAAAGGATCGAATGTTCTACTCTGATAAGATTTCTCCTTATGATATTCTCAGATTTGGACTGAGGTTTTTCCCCTTGCCTTCTTTAAATAATTTAAGCCTGTATATGTGCAGAATATTCTTCTTGTTTAATCTCATTGTTGAGAACACAAGTTAATGATGGTATTTTTTTATCAGTTCTACTTTCCTCATGCCAGTCTTCCTACACAAAGACTCCTTTTGCTAAGCATATAATATCTATTACATTCAGTTCTTTATCAGTTCCTCTAGGATAAGACCAAGAATTAAATTATCTCCTTCCACCACAGTCATAAAGATCTATGGTTAGGCTTCTTTGATACCTTGAAAAGAGTTATTTTGTATAAACATAATATTGCTTGTTAGTGAGAAAAGTTTTTTGAACAAGATTTTCCAAAATGCTTATAAAAATATCTTTAAAGATTCATTTTTATTGCAGTTTTATAACTATCAATTTAATATTGTTGATCTAACATCACCATATTAGACCAATGAATTTGAGTGTTTTTCTTAATTAAACTAAATGATTATATAGCATGAGTCCAGAGTAAATTATCTGAATTCTAAACCGTTTGAAAGGACATTCTCTGAAACAGCCTTATTTATGTCACTGTGGTCATAATGGCCAACAATTACATAAATGGGAAAATTATTTGTGTTAAATGTCCAGTGTCAGTCAAACAGATTTGGGTCTTTTTTTCTTTTTCATGAAAGGAGTAGAATATAAATGGCTAAGAGTGATAAGAAAACAGTGTTCAGGCATTCAAATTCATATTAAATTGAAGCCTATCAATAGATTAAGAACATAATAACTGGGAAGGTTTCAGAAAAATTTGAAATTTGTCACTGCACTTCAGTTATACAGACTACAGAAATCTGTCACAGGCAAAAAATTTGATTGCAGTACTTTAATTTTTTTAAGAAAACTCATTAAAAATACAGACTGTTATCTTACATTCTTTACAGATATATCATCACCTACCTTTCTAACAATAGTGGAAGTAAACACAATTGTAGAAAATGTTTGTTAATTAGGTCTTTGAATTGTACAACAGTATGTACTGAACATCACTGACACACTTGTACTTTCTGCTTCTTTGAAATCAGATGATATGGACTTTATTAAGTTGGTTCCAAAATGGAGAGAAATACTGGGTCCCAGACCAGTATTGATCAAATAAAAAAAAAAGTTTGCCAATTTTGGCACAATTTCTTTAGACGTGAAAGCACAAATCACAAAGATAAAATTTAACCAACCACATTAGATACCAAAAAAAGGAAAAGAAATCAGTTTTGTAAAACACTTTTCCCTCTTTTCATAAGTTTCTTTATTTTCTCTCCAGGAACAATGTTATTCCACAGCCTTCAATAGTGGAGTAGGCAAATCTTTTTCTTTACACTCACTATTAATGTGTGGATCGACACAGCCATATGCATTTTTCCTTCTGAATGTCAAGCTGAGTCACTGCAATATGGCATAATAACAAGAGATTAGCTGTATGAAACAGAACACCATGGCTGATTCAGAGTTTGTTCTCTTGAGGTCAATAAATACATTTAACATTGTCAAGCATTCAAAAGATAAAATCAATTATACAGCATAAACTTGAGTTCAGTTTTTAACCCTTGCTTTCCAGAGGATGAAGAACCTTCATGTGTCAAAAATCTCTAAAGGACAGATTCCTATAAAAAAAAAAATACTAATTTAAAATTTTACAACTCAAATATATATCTATATCTATATATATATATATATAGTTTAACCATATAAAAATGTATTCCAGGGTTAGTATATGCAAGATCTAAAAATTTTCCAACTTCTCAAAACTCAGGAATAAAATAATCCACAATCTTGTTATTTTATTGCTAGTAAAAGGCTTGAGGAGAATGTAGAAGTTAGAAGATTTAAAATTTAGGCGATAATATTGAGTTCTACAATAAATGGATAAGGGAAACTTTTGAACAAAACTGCAAGATTCTTCACTTGTTTACTAAATCTGTACAAACTCTGCTGTTTTTACCCTCCTTTTGCCACCTTCATTGTTTCCTAAGGTAAACCACGTTACAAAACTAAGAGAACTGAATATACAGTTAGTCAAGAATATTCAGAGTTTTTATGAATAAGGAAAGTTCCATAAAAACCTAATCAAAATAGAATAATGGAAAGTCATAATATTCCTTAGATCTCACTCTCCTTTAGGCTCTTGGCACATACTTATTTTCTGTAACTTTTTTTTAAATAAAAGTATTATATGTGCCTGATTGTAACATTATTTATTTTCAAAAACATGTTAATTAAACACTTAGCCATTTAACAAATTTTCAATAATCAAATGTAAGGTCTGCCCTAGATTTGACAAAATTGTTTAGGCTTTAAAAATATACATGTCTTTATGACTGCATATGCTCTCTGATTATCTCAAAATGTTTGGTTACAAATGAGGAGAAAAATATCCTGGGAATTCCCTGTCATTTGATTTGATGTACTATTATGAAACTCAAATCCAACCTAAAAATCAAATATTAAAATTCTATATTGTGACTAGGGAATTATTACTAACAAAATAAAAAACATAAAACAAAAAAAAACATATACTAATTCCCATTTCTTCCTCTGTAAAATTAAGGGGTTAGATGAGATGATATTGAAGCCTCTTACAGCTCAATCTGGGCACTGGAAATCTGTATGGGTTTTAAAATGTGCTTACTTTATTGAAAGATGAGATCATTCAGCACAAACCTGAACTATTTTTTTCATATTAGACTTTTTCAATACAACATTTTTTACTTATCTTTTTGATTGCTCCAAAGCTCAACTTAGAAAAGTTGGTCTAGAACAAAATTTTTCTCAGAAACATAATTATGGGAAAAGTTTCTGCATCTCTCTTTTAGGTTTTCAAAGGGAAGAGGAAGTCTGCAACAGGGATTTGCAGTTAAAGACAGGAAAAATAACTTGCAAATCAAATAAAATGTCATTCACTTGGTATGAATTCTTCTCAGAAATCCATTCTGTATATGGTTCCTGTTCTTAAAGATGTTCAAAAATATTTCCCCTTGACTATTTGTCCTATTACGTAACCAGAGTGATGTGTACCTGCATCCATATTCAATGACACTGAAATAATTAGCTGGCAATGTATAATGAAAATAAGTTAATAAAAGAGTAACAGATACATAAAAATAAGTATAAATACATGTGTATATGTGCATATATACATACGTATATATATGTACATACACACACAAATCAATCAGTGCTTTAACAAATAAAAAAACATTTATGGCAAAATTAGATACCACAAAGCATTTTATTCGCTTCAATATCTTGAGACATACATTGTAATTATCGGTACATTTTTGGTTTCTATGTAAATATAGCCCTGCAATCATGACATAATTTTAAAAATCATTAGCAATAATATGCTGTTTCTTGGGTTTCCTACCTCCCCCAATTGTTCAGTGTACATCTCCATGTGTTTTTCCACAAGAATGGATCCTGGAACCACTTACTCTTCCAGTGATCTGTCTAGGCCTCGATCAGGGGATCGATGAAGAGCACGGTCAGGTGAATGACACCTAGGTGTTGGTTTTATTGTAGAGCTCATGTGATAATAATTGGAAGAAGTATAATTCTGGCGACGAAGTTCTTGTACAGCCCGCTCTCTAAGAGATAATTGTGATATTTTAGCATTTTATATACAATGGGATTACTAGCTCCATGATAAATTGTAACTCAGATCATATATTAAGATTTGCTCATCTTGAATTTCTCTAACTCCATTGTTTCTACAAAAAAAAATATTTTGAAGGATAAACAATGCATGGTTGTCAACTTACCTTTCAAAGCGCTCTGTCCCTAGTTGTCTTTTTGTAATATCTAGATCAGCTTCCAGTTGTGTTACTACATTTCTGAACTGGGCAACATCTCGACTTTGAATGGCCCTATGGAAAAAAGTTAAAGGAGATATGATGGAGCTGAAAATACTGCTAATTCCTTGTCAATGATCTCCCAATTATATCCAAACTAAAATCAAGCATTCTCTCTCCATGTTCCTGTTTTATGTGGTATGGTGTACACACACACACACACTTTTTTTTTTTTTTTTAGGTAATTGGGGTCAAGTGATTTGCCCAGGGTCACACAGCTAATAAGTGTCAAGTGTTTGGTCTAAGGCCAGATTTGAACTCAGGTCCTCTTGCCTTCAGGGCCAGTGCTCTATCCACTGTGCCACCTAGCTGCCCCAACACAAACTTTTAAAATACAGTCTATATGACATAGAAAAATGGTCTGAGAGATCTGGAATCCAATACTAGGTCCAATAATGACAATTTCTTTATGCCTCAAATTTTTCATCAGGAAAATGTGGATAATACCACTTGTACTATCTATCTCAAATAATAACTACAAATACCACATTAAAAGTAAAACTATTACATAAATGCAGGATGGTATTATTATCATTCACCCTAATTTACCTGACACTTAATATGCTATTAATACAAACTCCTAATAGGTTTATCACATTTACCAGTGGAAGTCATTATTGTAAAATATAGCTTAGCTACTTTTAAATATTTAAATATACTTGAATATAATAGGGTACACACTTTCATTTATTTAAATTTTACTCTCCTTTGAAGAATTCATCAGTTTCTGTAGCTTCAATTATGACTTTCACATCTACATATCTAGCCCTCATCTAATCTCTCTTCTCAACTCCAGTTCCATACCTCTAACTGCCCTGATGAACATCTTCATTTAGCTGTCTCATAGGCATCTCAAATTCAGTATGTCCAGAATTATCTATATCACCAAACCTATCATTCTTCTAAAGTTCCATTTCTGTTGAGGGCACAATTAACCGTCCGGTCATTTAGGTTCACAACCTTCAGCCTCCTTCTCCCTCAGCCAACTCTGCTGCTAAGTCTTGTGGACTCCACCTCCACACTTTTTCTGCATTCATCTGCTTTTTCTCTTCTTGCACAGATTCTACCTTAGTTTAGGCCATTAAACTAAGTTGAACACCTTTCACCTAGACTAGTGCAATAGGATCCTAAATGCCCATCCTGCTTCTACTCTCTCTCCTCTCAGATCCTATATACAAATCCTAGATACAAATGCCAAACTGATATTCTTAAAACACAGATTTGATCATACCACAACTCTGTTAAGATACTTTTAAGATCATAGATAATACAGCTGAAATGAATCTCAGAGGTCATTTCGTCCAAGTTCCTTTTTTAAAGACAAGAAAACTCCAGCCCAGAGAAGTTATGTGAGTGAATGTCCCAAGGTCACCTAAGTCATGTGAGAGGTGGGATTTGACCCTTGGTCCTCTGGCTTCAGAGTCTGGGCTTTTTCCACCGTACTTATTTTTCCACTGTTCCTTATTGCCTTTGGGGAAAAAATACTAAACCCTTGCCCTGATATTAAAAGGTCTTGACAGTACGGCTTCCACTGACTTTTTAGTCATATTTCATATTTTTTTCCTTCACATGATTAATGTTGTAACTGTCCTCTATGACATTTCGTCTTCAGCTTCTGTGTTTTGGCACAGGTGGTCAGTCTGTGGTCTGCTCTGACAGGTGGGGCCCTTGGAGAATCCCTAGCTTTCTTCAGAGCTTAGGGACCACCTTCTACAGAGGTCTGTCTTTCCTGATCCCCCCCTCAGCTACTTGTACTCTTCCCATCTTGAAATTACTTCACATTTACTTATCTGCATACATGTTCTTGACTCCTAGGAGAAGATAAGCTCCTTAAGAGGGCTGGTTTTTTTTTTCTTTTTAATCTCCAGTGTCTTACATAAACAGGCACTTAATGAATGTTGCTGAATGAAAGAAGTATATTTGGATGTTTTTACTGATGCCTAAAAGTGTGAAATAAAATTTAAAAAACTAATTCTTATCAATTTAAGTGAATTCTTAAGTATCTCATTACAAATATGTACATAGATGAATGTACATATATAAACATATATATATAGATATATATATATCTATATATATATATATATCACATATACATATAGTTACTGTCCTGGTTATAAGACTAAATCCCAAGGTCTGGGCTCCATATTTCAGGAGGAGAACATGGATGCTAGTACAAACTAGCAGGCAGCTAGGCAGCTCAATGGATAGAGAGCACTGGCCTTGGAGTGAGGAAGACTTAAGTTCAAATCTGATTTCAGACACTCACTAGCTGTGTGAGCCTGGGCAAGTTACTTAGCCACTGCCTGCCTCAGTTTCCTTATCTGGAAAATGGGGATAATAGTACCTACCTTTCAGGGTTGTTATAAGGATAAAATGAGATAATATCTGTAAAGCTTGGCATAGTGGCTGGCACATATTAAGTACTTAATAAATACTTGTTAAACAAAAAAACAAAAACTGTATTTTAGCCTCTCTCCTTTGTAACCTCAATTATGTAACACATACTACTGAAACCTAGACCTCTTGGGTAAATAAAAAAAATTTATTATCTTTAGTCATTCTATCAATTATTCTATCAATAGTATGCACCTGCATATCAAAGTAGATATGGTTAGCTGAAATTGGGAGTACTCCTATGTTCCCAATGTGGTAGATCTCTGTCAGCTGTCATTTGTTAGCTGACAATGAAGACATCAAAATAAGAAAATGAACTAAGATGAATGTCATGGCTGTAAGTCATGATTTCCAGGTCCTCAGAGTACTAAAATTGCCAGAAAGCAGTCACTAAAATGATATTATCATGGACCCTATAATCCTATGCCTTGTCAATGCTCCCGTGCCATTCTATATTTCTATCCATATCTAAAGCTGATGTAGGGTGAACAGAAAACAGAGGGCCAGTATTGAGGCTGAATAAAGAATTTGTGGGCTAAGAGTAGGGTCTTGTGAAAAGTGATCATGATGTTACCTTCAGCTATGTGGATAAAACATTTTTGGTAATCACAGGGGTGGATGAGGGAAAACTAGGGACTCTGCACTGTGCCAAGCAGCTTATATATACATATACATATACATATACATATACACATACATATACATATACATACATATACATATATATATATAAATCTTCAGATCTGAAAATGCTTGTTTCTAACAGTTCTATGAACTCATGTGAAAAATGGTTTTGGTCAAACAACTGTATACAGGGTATGTGTCCCTTAGTTTCTCCATCTGTAAAATGAAGGAGCTGAACTAGTTTATCCTGAAGATCCTTCTGGCTCCAAAATTCTATGACTGCATACTTTTTCAAGAGTTTTGATAATCAGAAGGGGTAGTTATGTTGAGATATTCCTGGCTGACTCACATTTTATTTTCAGCCAAACAAAGGTGCTCTTTTAGAAGCTGGATTTCAGATTCCTTTTCTTGAAGTGCTACTTGAGTCTGGTACTCTTTGTCCCGATTGGCTACCAGCAAAGCTTCTAGATTCTGCATGGAGATTCTATCGTTCGCCATCTGGTTCCTAAGAAGTTCTACTTCATTTCGAGCAGAATCTAACTCATTCTCCACCTGTACAATAATAGGAAGATATTTAAACTTACTCCCATCTATTTAAGTGATATGCTATCTGAGCACACTTTTAGCATCATGTGTACACTCACCAATGCTTCTTGTTCCTCTATTTCAATATATGGCCTACTTCTCCCCTTCTATATTTGCAGGGCACATCAGACTCTGCAGAACTGAAGAATGGAAAAAAAATCCCTTTCCAATTTCCTGATCAAACCAGACTTATTACTAATTTAAACAGAGAATCATTGACCAGAAGTTGGAAATCTAGTCCCACTTCCAGTTTTAATATTCCTCTTTAATTTTGTATTTATTATTATATCTCTACAAAACTTAAGTAGTTCTACCCAGGGAAAATAATTTGAGGAGGGTATACATGGACCCTAGCTGCCCCGTGGGACTGTAGTAATTCATTCTTTCACATTCTTAATTCTATATATATTTCTGGTGGGTTCTCCTCTAAGTGTTTTCTTAAGCCAGCTATTTGAACTGTGGCCAAAACATGGCACACTGTTTCCTTAAAAAATGTTGCTAGGTTCTTAGAGCTGTCATAAACTAAGATATATACTACATAAAATCCACTGCCATCAATTATAAATTAAGGTATTCTCTAAAAATTTTCTAATAAAATTTCTAAACAAACTTTACCTTGCCCCAATTAGGAATTAAGGAGCTTTAAAAAACATCCTTTTGATATTCCTCCAAATAAAATTTCCCCCCAAAATTCCTCTCTTTTAAACAGAGAATCATTGACCAGAAATTAGAAATCTAATCCCACTTCCAGTTTTAATATCCCTCTGTAATTTTGTATTTATTATTATATCTTTACAAAACTGAAGTAATTCTATCGTGGGAAAATAATTTGAGGAGGATACACATGATCCCTAGCTGCCCCGTAGGACTGAAAATAAAAGGGAGAAAAAAAGGAGATTTAGTGTATTTATTTTAAAGACAGCAAACTGAAACCACAAAGGGATCAGGAATCCCTAACTATATTGATATTAAAATAATTTGAACATGCCTGCCTAAGTTATATATCAATATGCTTTCTTCTCTTGCATTTAAATGATAAAATCACAGCTAGAGATACTTTGTCTTCTTCCTATCACTCCTAGTTGTCTTTAAAGATAAAAAAGTATGTAAAATATGTAAAAATTATACTACTAAGTTTAAATGCATGAGAAAAACACAATTGAATGCATAATATAAGTTACAGGAACTTTATATTAGGGAGAGAAATACCTAAAATACAACTATGAAACTATCCAAGTGGATTAATTTTTTTAGACATTTAGTCCCTGAGAGGTAAAAATACCGGTATTCTGTAATTCCACACAAATTCCAAATAAAAATTGGCAAAGGACTAACAAAAAACAGAGGAGTTACATTTTCACTTAGTTGAATTGTTGCTTTATAGATCCTCTAGCTTTAGATTTACTATCCAGTGTGCTATCCATTTATTAACTATATATTTTAGTTCATGTAGGGATATGTCTCTTTTTATATTTATTCAGATACATAAATGTCCCAGTTAATGATTAAACTTAGGTTAATGTACTTATAACAGAGAAGAGCTATTAGCACCATTCATTAGCCAGAACTGAATGTTCTAAGGGAATAAGCATTTAATATCTTTAAAAAGATGCTGGGCCTCTCTGAGAATTGCCATTCCATAAAAACGTCTATTCAAGCCCTTACTAGAAAAAAAAAAAGGACAAGAAATTTTTATTTAAGAAACTTAAGCATGTATTACTTTTACTAAAAGGCAACACTTTCTAGAGCTAAAGACACCTCAGTTTGAAAAAATAGCTTTAAACCAAAGTGTAAACATGACTCTAAGTGATTTACTAATAGCTGTTCCCTATTCATAGACATTAGTCCAGATTTATGAAAGATAAAACTTTATTTCTTCATCACACATCAAAGGGATTTATTTAATTTTTAAGAAAATTATTTCCATTCATTTAAAAATAAAGTATAATTTTTATTATAATAACAGCATATAATCAAAATTGTATACCAGTTGTAGAAACTTAAAGATTCTCTCCTGGTTAATGTATCATATGTACCCTTAAATTCCTCTAAATGAAAATAAATTCAAATGACAAATTTAAAATAAGATTTCATTTGAAATCTTAATAAAGAACTTACAGATTCTTGAGCTGTATGGAAAACAGCAGAGAAAACTGAACTTAAGGGCCTTAAAAATACAGTTCTGTAGTTGAAAGGCATCTCTTAATGTTTGAATGCAAAACATAAACCTTTATAAAATGAAATTTCATTTTTCAAAGGAAGGCTAGAACCCCTTAGATTCTTCAGAGAACGTATGCAATATAAACAACTGTTTTTAATGTCTGGCTTAAATACCATATCTATTTCTTGATCTTTGGCAATAAGCTGTCGACTGAGTAGTTCTTTGCTAGAGTCCAGTTTTATACAGAGTTCCCGTGTGGAAGACAAATCTGCAAGGGCAGAGACTTTCTCAAACTGAACCTTCTGAAGCTCCTCTTCCATCTTTAAAAGGGATTTGTGCAAAGTGGAAATCTGAGACTTGTACAACCTTTCTGCATTTAAGTGCTGGCAGAACAAGATGACTAAGTTAGTTACAGAGAAATATCAATTTGATTCAAAAAAGAAAGATGAGAGAGACAGAGAAAAGAAACATAGCATAGAAAAGCAACTGACATTTAAGAAATGAAATACAGCAAAACTTCTTTACCAATACTCCATAAGGTGCATTCTATGATATGTCGATAGTACATTTCTAACTAGGTAAAAAGGTAAACTAGAATATTTAAGCTTTTTGTAGAAACTCTGGAGTCAGGGTTTGGGTTGTTCTTTTTTGAAAGCTTGAAATAAAAACCTGCACTTTTTTTTGGGGTGGGGGGGCTAGGCAATCTGGTTGAGGGTCACACAGCTAGTAAGTGTTATGTGTCTGAGGCTGGATTTGAGGTCAGGTCCTCCTGAATCCAGGGCCGGTGCTGTATCCACTGTGCCACCTAGCTGCCCCAAAACCCTGCACTTTTAAAAGCTTTCAGTTCTAAGGCTGACTCCCACAAGATGTTTGATCATATTGGCTACCTGTCACAGGCCTGACCAAGTGTTTTATGGTATAATTATTATTATTATTATTATTATTATTATTTAAATATTGCCTTCTCACATCCATAATACCCAGTTCTTAATGTCAGTCACAGTGATGCTGACCTTATTACCATAAAAAAGAAACTGATAGCTCTCTAGTGCTTACTAACAGAATCTTGAAAATCAGGGACCTAGGTAGCCATCAATTGTTGTTGTTATGTTTGACAGCATGTTAAAAACTTCAGCATGTTGTTAAAAATAAAAGCCAAGTGCTTTCAAATGTTTACGAATGCTGAGGAATTATACTTATTTAGTTATTTTCAGAAATTTTTTTTCTCCAAAGACTAAGAGTAATACTGAGGATGAAATTCAGCATTGGATGTGAAAATACTTTCAAAACTATGAAGTACAATATAAATCTAAAGTACTGTTATCTGACCAATAGCCTGGACCTGGGAAAAGGCTCCTAGTCACAACTTAATTTCTGCCTTCAAGAGAAAAATTAAAGAATCAGTCTAGTGGTTTAAGGGTTTGGAAGCTTTACCAAATCCTATTTAAGTATAATTCAAGATCAACTGCTGACACGCATTCCCAGCTTACTTGCTCAACCTCTCTATTGAGCGAGTCCACTTTTTCTTTTAGTCTGTTACTCTCTGCCTCTGCACTTAAAAGTTCCAGTTTGATAGTGTTGTTGTCTGCCTCGGTTTGGCGGGCTTTGGCTTCCCAGCTTTCAGCCTGTTCAACAGCCTTTCGAAGGTCCTCCATAAGTTGCCGGTTCTCAGTCTCCTGAAATAAATCATCTTGGGTTTCACTTGTAAGAATTTGAAATAATAAATAGTTAAAGCGTGAGTCAGATAATTAACACGATGTGTCAGGACTATGCTGAAAAAAAGAGGCAAGAGTTCAACCATTAATCTTACTTATGGTATAATCATAGATGTAAATACCAGCTAAGCAACCTGTATATTCCATGGGATGCTGGGGACATGAAACCTGCTGCTGGAAAACTGATTGCAATTAAAGGATAAAGTACTATCAGTATTGTTCTTAAATCTAGACCGACACTTCCTACTTCTACTTCTTTCAGATGAACTTCCTTGACATGGCTCATCTGCTCCCACCCACAGGCTGGGGTGGCGATGCCTGGGAATGGCGTTTATCCTTGCAAGGAAACAGAGAAGAGGCTTCCTGGCTGAGGCAGAAATCACTTGGGATTAAAGGCATACTTGTCACTGCTACTTTGTGACTATTATATTTTAGATGTTGGATGAGTTTCTGTACTTCTATTGTGCTATGACCCTGGGGTATTAAGATCATATGATAATAAAGCCAGAGCTAGATGAGACATAATCCAACTTTATTTTACAGATGAAAAAACGAAGTTGAAGAAGGTGAAGAAACTTGCCCAAAGTCACACAAGTAGCAATTATCACTACTATTACAAAGTGGCTCAAAGGTGTACATGGCTGTAAAGGAGGTTGGCCGGTCATGTGGTGACAGCAAAAGCTAACAGTTAAACTAACATCCCTTAACTGGGGTAGAATTATACATAAAATATTAAAAGACTGAGGATTCTGGGAAGATGGTGAAATAAGGCAGGAAATTATCTGATTCTTGCAAATTCCCCCCCAAAAATTAAAATAATGTCTCAAAGTGAACTTTACTGAGGCAGAAATAATTAAAAGTTGGGATAAAGCAGTTGTCCAGCCTAAAACAACCTAGGAGGACATTAGGAAAGGTGTGACCTTCCAGGGTGGGGGAGGGGGGGAGGTCTGGCCTGACTGGTGTAGAATCAACAAACAACAAGCCCTGGCTGTATCAGGGGCAGCCTTAGCTCGAGGAACTTTTGCCCTGTGGACAGTGTGGAGGTCAGACTGCCGATCAGGGGAAGACTGTGGAGCCCTCCACTGTTGCTGGACTTGGGGCTCAGGTGCACTTGGGTGAAGAGGAGTGAGCACACATGGGTGAGTGCAGACTGCGTAGAGCAGGGCCCCTGCTGGCTGTGGTCACTCTCAGCAGAGCAGAATCCATGGTTTTGGTTCCAGGATAGAGGGATGAACTGAAGCTTGCAGCCACAGGAAAGACCACAGAGAGTAAGAGTGTTTGTTGTGAGAACATTGCTGAGGGTCGTGGCTCAGGGGAAGGCAGGAGCACTTAAGGTCAGGTCCCAGGGATAGAACTCAGAAAACAACAGCATGAAAAACCTGAAGCTTGAAACACTATACCCCACTCCTTGGGACTAGAGCCCAACTCTAATACAAAGTTAATAGCCAGGAAATGAGTAAGCAAAAGAGAAAGAACCCAACTATAGATAGCTACTATGGTGATAGAGAAGATGTGGGTTCAAACTTAGAAGAAGACAGTGAAATCAGAACAACTACTTCTACTTCAAAGAGAAATGTAAAATAATCATAAGCCCAAAAAGAGTTCTTGGAAGAGCTTAAAAAGGAATTTAAAAGTCAAAGAAGAGAGGCTGAAGAAAAAATTAGAAAAAAGAAATGAGTAATGCAAGAAAATTATGAAAAGAAAGTCAACCAATTAGAAAAAAATTCAAAGACTTACAGAAGAAAGTAACTCCTTAAAAATTAGAATTGGGCAAAGGAAAGCTAGTGACTTCATAAGATTCCAAGAAATAATAAAACAAAATCAAAAACATGAAGAAAATAAGAATGTGGAACTGATCTGGAGAACAGATCAAGGAGAGACAACATAAGAACTGTTGTGCTACCTAAAAGTTATGATCAAAAAAAGAGTCTAGACACTATCCTTCAAGAAATTATTAAAGAAAATATCCCTGAATTTTTAAAACTAGAGTGAAACAGAAACTGAAAAAAGTCCACTGATCACCTCCTGAAAGAGATCCCAAGATAAAAACTCATAGAAACTTAAGTTTCAAAGCTATCAAGTTAAGGAGGAAATATTACAAGCAACTAGAAAGAGACAATTTAAATACTGTGAAGCAGAGGTTCTCAAAATTATTTGGCTTACTACCCCCTTTTCCAAAAAAAAATTACTCAGTGCCCCCCTAGAAATCTACTTTCTTTAATCCTTTTAACAGTTTTTTTTTTTGAAATTTGCATCATTTCAAACTACTACCCCCCTAGGTTATTCCAGCACCCCCCAGGGGTGATATCACCCACTTTGGGAACCCATGCATGCAGCCACATTCAGGATAACTCAAGATTTAGCAGCTTCTACCTTAAAAGACTGAAGAGCATGGAAAATGATATTCTGAAGAGCAAAGGAGCTAAGTTTGTAACCAAGAATAACTTACCAAAAAAGCAAATCTGAGTATAATCCTGTATGGGGAGAAAAAAGGTATTTAACAAATTAAAGGACTTTCAGGTATTTGTCAGGAAAGACCAGAACTGAACAGAAAATTTGACCTATAAGAATCAGGAGAAAGATAAGAAAGTATACACGAAAGACCAATTATAAGGGACTTAATAGGGGCAGCTAGGTGGCACAGTGGATAGAGCATTGGCCCTGGATTCAGAGAACCTGAGTTCAAATCCGGCCTCAGACACATAAAAACACTTAACTAGCTGTGTGACCCTGGGCAAGTCACTTAACCTCATTGCCTAGCCAAAAAACATAATAAAATAAAATAAAATAAAAAAATAAAGGACTTAATAAGGTCAAACTGTTTACTTCTTATATGGGAAACTATTATCTGTAACTCTTAAGAATGTTATCATTAGGGGCAGCTAAGTGGTGCAGTGGATAGAGTACCGGCCCTGGAGTCAGAAGGACCTGAGTTCAAATCCAGCCCCAGACACATAACACTCACTAGCTGCGTAACTCTGGGAAAGTCACCTAATCCCAGCTGCCTCACCAAAAAGAAAGAAAAAAAAAAAAAAAGGAAAGTTATCATTACCAGGGTAATTTGAAAGAACAATCATAGATAGAATGCTTGGGGTTGAGTTGAGTATGATGGGATAATTCAAAAAAATAAAATTGGGTAGGGAGAGGTAAAATGGAGCAATTATCTCATACAAATGAGGTATGGATGGAAGAACTGTAGAGGGCAGGAGGGAGTGAAGGCCTGGTAGTGTTAGAACACGATTCTCATCAGAACTGGGTTAAAGAGGTAATAATATATACATCTAAAAGGATATAAAAGTCTTCCTAACTTAAAGAGAAATAGGAGGATGAGGGCACAGGATAAGGGAAAGACAGTTAAAAAGATGTGCAGATCAAGAAACAGAAAGGTAGGGGAGAGGATAAGAGAGGGTCTCTTACAAGGGTGGGCAGGTTACGGAATGGGAGGGCAAGGGAAGAGGATGGGGGGAATTCTTGGAAGGGGTTTGGATTAGGGAGGCAGTGGTCAGAAGTAAAGTAGACATATGAGGAGTGACAGGTTAAAAAGCGAGAGAGATAAAGAGTGAAGAAAAATAGGGTGGAGGGAAAAACAAAACTAATAATTATAACTTTGAATGTGAATAGGATAAACTCACTTAAAAAACAGAAATGGACAGCAGAATGGATTAAAATCCAAAATGTGACAATATATTGTTTTCAAGAAACACATTTAAAAATGAGAGATTCACATAGAGTAAAAATAAAGGGTTGGAGTAGAATTTATTATGCTTCAGGCAATGCAAAAAAAAAGCAGAGGTAGCAATCATGATCTCAGACAAAGTTAAAGCTAAAGTAGATTTAATTAAAAGAGATAAACAGGGAATCTATATTATGATAAAAGGTACCATAGATAATGAAGCAATATTAATGCTAAATCTATATTCACCAAATGCTACAGTATACAATTTTTTAAAGGAAAAGCTAAATGAATTACAGGTGGGAATAGATAGCAAAACTGGAATAATGGGGGACTTCAAACTTCCCCTCTCAGAACTAGATAAATCTAACCAAAAAATAAATAAGAAAGAAGTCAAGAAGACAAATAGAATCTTAGATAAGCTAGAAATGATAGATATCTGGAGAGAACTGAATGGGAATAAAAAGGAACATATCTTTTCCTCATGGAACATGGTACTTTTACAAAAATTGACCATATATTGGGGCACAAAAACTTTACAGGTAAATGTGAAAAAGCAGAAATATTAAATGTATCCTTTTCAGAGCATAATGCAATAAAATTATATTTAATAAGGGGCCATGGAAACACAGATTAAATATTAATTGGAGACTAAATAAAGAATGAATGGGTTAAAGAACAAGTCATAGAAACAACAAATAATTTTATTAAAGAGAATGATAATAATGAGACAACATACCAAAAACCTATGGGATACAGCAAAAGCAGTTATCAGAGTAAAATTTACATACCTAAATGCTTACATCAATAAAATAGAGAAAGAGCAGACCAATAAATTGGGTATGCAACTAAAAAAAAACTAGAAAAAGAATAAATTAAAATTAAACACCAAATCGGAAATCCTAAAAATTAAAAGTAAGGTTAATAAAACTGAATGTAAGAAAAGAAACCTGTTGAATTAATAAGTTAGGACTTAGTATTATGAAAAAAAAACAATAAAATAGATAAACCACTGATGAATATTATTTTTAAAAAGAGAAAAGAAAATCCTATCACTAGTATAAAAAATGAAAAGGGTGAATATACCACTAACGAAGATGAAATCAAAGCAATTATATGCCCAATTATATGCCAATAAATTTAACAATTTAAGTGAAATGTAAGAATACTTACAAAAACATAAACTGCCCAGATTAACAGAAGAGGAAAGAGGATATCTAAAGAAACATATTTTAGAAAAAGAAAATAAACAGGCCATAAATGAGCTTCCTAAGAAAAAAGCATCAGG